AAGTAATATTGTAGTTTTGATTTTCAATTATCTTATTAGTGATATTGAACATTTCTCCTTTTTCCCTTTGGTCATTTGTACATTAGCCCCTTTATTTTTATATGTACAAATATATTTTATTAAATTTCAATTGTACTGAGGCTTTTGCATTTTTATAGTCATTATTATTCTCAGGTAACAAAAATAGGTCCTGAAAAACATACATAGAATGAAACATTCATTATATAAAAATATATTTTGGTTGAAAAGCCACTAAATAAAAATAAACCTAAACTATTAAACTTCTAGCAGAAAAATCTAGCATTTTGTTTTAAAAGACCAGTTATACTGTAGCATGTATAATTGAGTACCTCATTTCTTTTCATTATTGATGATATTCCATTGCAAGCATATACTATATTTTGCTCAACCATTTATCTGTTAATGGATTTAATAATTATTATTCCTATGAACATTCATATACAAGTTCTTGAGGATTTGCTTTCAATTGTTTTAAGTTGTATGTAGATTTATCTTTTTTATTCATTAAGTTTATTGTTGCATTTTGGGTACACAGTAAGATGGCATTCATCATTGGGAATTTGGTTGAATGACAATGTTTTCTATACTTTTATACTGATTTCAATAATTTCCTGATGCAAGGTTTTTCATGTCTTTAAATTTATATTCTTTAAAATGTCTGTTGTACCTGTTAGAAACGCATAACAAGTAAATCATCTTTTACAAAAGAAAATACATGACACAAGGTCTAGCATTCAGGTTAGAGCCTTGAACTGAAGGAGACGGGGAGGGCTTTAGAAGCAAGAGAATCACTCTGACTTTCTCCACTTTCTTTGACTTTTGTTGTGAGATCTGTCTTTAAAGAAATCCTCTCCAGCACAGATCTGGGGTCTGACTGCCTTCCTTATCTACTGATGTGAGCAGACACACGTCTCGGCTTGGAGACTGCCACAACTTGGCCAAAGAAAGGGGCCTCTGATATAGAGGAGACACCTCGAAAGAGCACAGGCCTTAAGCAAGGTGAAGAAATTTGAATTGCTAGACTCCAAAATTGTGGATCCCAGAAGGAAACCACTCACTCAAAAACACTCATTCAAAACATTATTTTGGATTTTTTTCTCCTTTCTTTTACTCTTTCTTCTTCACTGATTTATTTGGGGTTTGGAGAATTTTCCTTTATTCTTTTTCCTTGTTTTGTTATTTTCTTTTTTTTAAACTTGTTTTTGTCCTTTTAATTTTTTCAAATTTTTGCTCTCTATATAATCTCTTTTTCTCACTTTTTTCTTTTACCTTCTATTTCACATTCTTTTTTCTTTTACCTTTATATAATTGTGCATATAACCATCTACTCCCTCTTAGGATAATTTATCTCACTTCTCTCTCTTCTTTCTTATCTCTTACAGTTTAAATTTTCAAAATTTTCTTCTTGTACTCTCCTATTACCTAGATCTTTAATAGTATTAGCATTATACTTTGTCAATCTTCAGACAGTTAACATTATATAATTATATGTGAGTTCTTAGTATCTCTAGTGGAGGTATAGTCATCACATTTAGTACATATTTGCTGTTTGTCAATGTCTGGGTTTTCTTGCTGTTTATACTACAATTGTGGATTTCTTTTCTATAGTTAAAGGTGGTATGTTATTATTTCTTATGGTATGTCAATATACAATTTGTCTTGTATGATACCACTGTTGCTGACTTGCTTGATATTGTCAGGGTCACATAATTGTTACTATTAATGGGTTTTCTCTGTATGATAGCACGAAAGTTACCTTTCTGACATTAACAATACTGTAGATCATTCTCCCAAAACTGGATGTTGGGCCAATTGCATTGCATCCTCCCCTCTCAAATGAGCAGAGGTAATTGGATCTTGGAGCAGAGGCAAAGGACAAGTACCACAGAAAAAGTGCATCACTGGAAAGCAGACTAAGATCTCCATACCAGCAGCAAAGTCTGTCCACTAAGTGCCTGTGAACCTCATCACAAAACAAAAAAACAAAGAAAAAAAAGAAACAAAACTATAGGAACATGAGAATACAAGGAAACAAAATGCCTCCTAACACTCCCAACTTCCAAAAGCTGATTCAGGAAGCATTGAGGGGAAGAATAGCAAAAGCCACATACTGGAATTATTCAAAAGGAAAACAGAGGAAATTTAAAAACAGAGCAAAGAGGTGTTCAGCAGGATCATAGAAGATATAACTAAACAGATAATGGAAGTAATACACAAAATAATCAGAGAACTTACATAAGACACTAATAAAGTTAGCTGAGCTAAGCAAAATGATATGAAACATAAATGATCACTTTACCAAATAATTACAGATCACAAAAAGGTTTCAAACAGAAATCCAGGAGATTAAAAATTATTTTTAAAGTGTGACCATCAGAAGCAACCAATGTGTAGACAGAATATTAGAGTTAGAAGATGAGGGTGGGGTTTAAAGACCAACTCCTCCATACTTGGCAGGTCCATCCCTATAAAGGCAAAGGGCACATGTAATTATTACAGTTGTATTGCACTGGCCCAGTAAGATAATTAGGCTCTTCCCATCATCTCTATAATAAGGAAAAATTTTATCTGGCACTAAGGTTTTTCATTGTGAACAATGCCTCCCAAGAAGTCTCTGATAATTATACTCTGTACATATTGTGACTACCTCTCCCACCAACATTTGAATATCCTATAAGGTACATTATAAGCAGCCAGCTGAAGATCTTTCAGTGTCATTTTATGTAAAACATTATTTGAATTGCTGTTCTCACCCTGAGAATAGAGCTCTATAACTGCATTTATTTATTAATTTTTTTAAGACTGGGCCTCACTATGCAGTCCAGTCTGGCTTTGAACTCATTATGTAGCCCAGGCTGGCCTTGAACTTGTGGCAATGCCCCTGCCTCACTCTCCCAAGCACTGGGATTATAGGCATGGGCCACTGTGCCTGCTGTTATAATTGAATTTTTAAAAATATTCCTGTAGCTCAGTGGTTGCTCCTTTCCCCCCTTACAACTCTGACTTCATTTTCCTTTACTTTTCTTTCTCTCATACTCTACTTAGGCTGGTTCAAATACACCAGCCATTTTCCCAAACTCAAGACCTTTGCAAGTGGTTATACCTGTGCCCAGTGACACTCTCACAGATTTCTCCATATCTGACCTGCCCATCTCCCTCAGAATTTGCTTAAATGTCACTTCTTATCAAGAGTTTTCCTGAGCTGCCTATTTAATATTATAGCTTCTTATTACACGCAACTTCAGCACAATTCTTCATTTATAGAGAAAATGAAAAATGGATTCAACTGATGCTAGAAGACACAAAGAAGACTAATCTAAGATAAAGTGGAATAAGAGAAAATTCAGAAGACATCACAAATGACATAAACAAAACCTGCTTAGAGAAATAATAGCAGAAATCTTTCCAAATATGGGAAAAGAATTTAACATATGGATAAATTAGGCATAGAGAACCCCAAACGGCCACTATAATAACAGAACTTTCCTAGGTCACATTATAGTCAAAATATCAAAAGTCCAACACAGGGAATAAAATCTTAAAAATGTTAGAGAAAAGCAACATATCACTTATAAAGGTACAGTCAAACTTTGGATTGTGAGTAACTTGGTCTGCATGTGTTTCACAAGTTGAACAAACATTTCTAAGAAATTACAACTTGGTAAACAAGTGATGTCTTGCTATATGAGTAGCATGTCACAATGAATATCACATGATCACAACTGGGTATCTCTTTCTCTCACTGCTTTGATATGCATGTGCTTTGGATTAGGAACAACAAATTATTCTCACAATCCAAGGTTTTACTGTGATCCCACTAGAATTAAAGCAAACTTCTTCACACAAACCCTAAAAAGGCCAGGAGGTCTTGAGTGCAGTGTAACAAGCCCTGAAACATAACTTCCAACCCAGTCTTATATACCCTGAAAAGTTTCCCTCTAAAATTGATGGGGAAAAAAAAGAGAGCACCTCAAGAAATTCATGACCATCAAACCGCTACTCCAAAAAATTCTCAAGGATATCCTAGAAAGATACAAAGGAGCCAACAATGCCAATAAGTCAAATAGAGTGAATACACCTGGCATATATGTATATATATACATACACACACACATATACATATACATACATATATGTATTCATTGTTGGTGATTAAACCCAGGGCCTTAGCACTATACTATATTCCCATTCATATTTTTTTATTTTTCATTTGGGACATGGTCTTGTTAAATTGCTAAGTTCCCCAGGTTGGGCTGGAACTTGTGATCCTTTTGCCTCTGTCTCCCAGAATGCAGGGATTATAAGAGTACATCAGTATGCCTAGCTGAAAGATAAGTTTTTGTTGTTTGGATCTACTTAGTTGGTAGAAATTTGTTACGGCAGCCCTAGAAACTAACATGATTGTCCTCACAGCACTTTCTTGATTTCTCTTTGCCTTTTACATGAACTTTATATTTTTAGGGACTTTTTCATTACTGAACTACTATACCAAAAGAGAAGCACAATATAGCAAGCAAATAAAGAAAACTTAACTGAGTAGTCATATTTTTAATATTGAATGATACTTATATACATACAGTTTTCAATACTTTAATGACCACCAATGACCAATAGATACTAAAACCAAACTTTTGCCATTGAATTCATGTTATTGAAGAACCAACGTAGGAGCTGGGCATGGTGGCACATGCCTATAATCCCAGCATTCTTGGTGGCTGAGGGAGGGGCATCTCAAGTTCAAGCCCAACCCAGGCAATTTATCAACTTAATGAAATCCTGTCTCAAAATAAAAAAAACAAACAAAAGGGATGGGACTGCAGCTCAGTGGGAAGGCTCTGGGTTCAACTGACAAAAAAAAATCAACATATGACATTATGTTTTAAAAATTAATTTTATTGGTATCTTTCACATATACATAATGATCACATTCATCATAAACACTTAATGTTGATTAATGTATTAATGTATCTTTACTTCCTTCTATATGACAGAGCAGGTGATGAGCCTAAAAAGGGGGTCTCTGAACAAAGGTGGTGGTAGAGGCAGAGGCTCCCCAAAACAAGATGATAAGAGTGATGTTTACCATTTAGTTCAGGTAAAGCACCTGGAGGAAGAAGAGAAGGTCCCTCGGGGAGGGTTCATACTGCGGGGGGATAGCAGTGGGGATGGCTCTCAATTTGCTGGTTCATGCTTTGGAAGAGTTCCTGAAATTGATGAGCCATCTGAGGCGTCATGCTCCTGTCGTGCAAATAATCAAATAATCAAAATCAACAGTCAGACCGGAATACACAAAAGTATATGTTTGTGAGATTTTTTAGAAGTTATATATAGTTTATTTATTTTTGCTGTGTTCAGGATTGAACCCAAGGCCTTATAAATGCTCAGAAAGTACTTTATGACTGAGCTGTATATCCCACCCTGGATTTCTTTTTTTTGAAAATGAAATATTAGCTGGGCATGGTGGTAAGCTTTTGTAATTTCAGCACTCTGGGGGGCTGAGGTAGATGAGTCACAAGTTCAACTCTAGCCAGGGCAATTTAGCCAGCGAGTGAAATTTTTGTATCAAAAAAAAGAAAGAAAATAATAAAGGGCTACATGTGTAACTCAGTGCAGAGGCCTTGGGTTCAATCCTCAGTACCAAATAAGAAAATTATGAATCCACTTATTGACATCATAGAAATTTTCTTTCAAAAGCACTTTTGTTTGCCTGACATACTGTCACGAAACATTCAGTACATTAGTTAAGAAAGTACATTAGTTAATGGATCTTTTCCACACATGAAAATGGTTTACTGTCTTAAATAAAACCTATGGAGTATGTTTCTTAAAAAGTCTGCCTTGAATCCCACTTTTCTCTCAATCTCACAAAATATATTTCTAACCTAACACTCAAAATGTGGTAGAACACACACACTTGCTTTCCACATTGTTAGAATTTTGTTTCAAATTCCTTGATTTTTTTCTTTCTTTTATGTCTATAACTCTTGAACACTGAATTCTTCATTTACTTGCAAAAGTGATATACATTTAATGATACAGTTTCAGGAAATCTATAAATAATATTGACTATGAAATAAAGCTTATAATACCTATCAAATAAAAATGTTCAGATTGATGTTCCTCAACTCAAAGTAGAATTTCTCTACTTCAGCATGAATTGCTGAACATCTAAAAAGAGGCTTTCGAATATACAAAATCAAATGACAGAATTACATATGGCACAATGGCATTATCCTTTCAATGGTTAACCAGATCACATGTATTAATGTTTCAAGTGGGAATGTGAAAAATTGAAAGGCAGTGGTATTTACATGTATTGTCACATACCTACCATTAGAGTACCATGGGCAAAGGCTGTGCTATGCCAGAAAACTAAGAGAACAGTAAACATTTTTCTGCAGTATTCTGTATCCACCCCTACCTCAACAAGTCCTCAAAACAGATTCAAAGAAGCCTAAATACTTAGAATAAGTACTGCTACCTTCTTGCTATAGGAGATTTGCATATCTTATTTGACCTTTGTTGTCAATGTCATCTCAAGGCATTTTACAAGGTTGTACACATATCCCAGTTATATATATTTATAAAATTCGCCTAACTTCCTATTTATACTTGTCATTAGAATTTCTGGCACAATGAAAAGCACACTTTTTGTAACATGATATATAACTGAGAGAAGTAAATGATTGGCTCAAATTCAGAGGTGACAAACTGATGAGGTCATAATAGGTTTATGATGCTGCCCGCCCTTTCATGCTTGGCCTCTTACCTATCCCTGCAGAGGTGCTTTTGAGCAGAATAATGAAGATATTCCACACAGAACAATAAGCTATTGATGGCTGAACCCTAAACCAGCTAGTCCAAGGCACTAGGACGGGGTATGGGGGCCAACACTGTGAACTGTAAGGGTAAAGGCCAAAACAAAGAACTGAAAGCAGCTAGTACTTGTTTAGACTGTCACTTTAGCATTCCCTAAGTATGCTATGGGAAAAGAATACACAGTTGGAATGGGACAGCTGCCATTTCTTCTTCTGAGTTCATGAAGGATCATGAATTGATCCTTCACAGTATGGATTTCAGTTAAGTGTCAATGAAACCGCCTAACTAGAAAGGCACATAGCAGAATACATATCACAAGGAAGTGTCACATTAGCCTTAAGAGAGCCCAGTTTGGATGAGAGGAGATTCTTTCCTCAGCAATCCAGGGGACACAGAGGTTCACCAAAAATTTGTCCTCAGCACTAAGGCTTCATATCAGAATGTTGTGGCAGAGCAGAGCAACTCAGTGCTGTAGCCAAGTGTTACAGCTCAGTGTTGCAACGAAGTGCCACAGCCCTGAGGTTCAGATGAACTTTACAGCTCAGTGTGGCAGGTCTGAGTCACAGCTCTCATAATTTGAAGACTCAAGAATCTGATGAGAGTCTCCTTATATAGGGATCTACAGGGTAGGCGAGCATGCCCCATAAAGCAGGAGGGTGGAGTTATAGAACATTCCTGAAGCAAAGGGGCAGAGTTACAGAACATTCCTGAAACATGCCATATGAGCATGCTCCATGAAGCAGGGTGTTGGAGTTACAGAACATTCCTGAACCACGTGCCTTGTGAGCATCCTCCATGAAGTGGGGGGTGGAGTTACACAACATTTCTGAGAGTGGTAGAATTACAGAACATTCCTGCCAGGGGCTGCTCTTAACAGAACCTTCTTGTGAGGACGCAGAGCTTAACAGAATATTCCTGAAAGTTCACACAGGTCCAACAGTCACAAACCATTTTGATACATTGGGCACAAACTGAGGAGTTACAGCACATTCCCGAGATGGGGAGGCAGCTTAACAGAACATTTCTGAAAGGTCACAGAGTTCAAAAAGTCACAGACCATTTTGATACATTGGGCAGGAGCCCAGCAGCACAAACATTTCCAAAACAAAACATTCTGTGGCAAAAAATGGAGGCAAGACAAGGGTCTGTCTTACTGTGGAGCACTTCTCTAGGAAGACCACTGTGATAGCATTGAAAGGTCTCAGCTCACTGAAATGAACCTGCCTTTGTCTGCTCACTGTTGAGTGCTAAAGGACAGAGGTATGATACTGATTGGACTCCTGTTGGACACAAGATTTCTACCAAACCTCCACATGGCAGAAGTAGCTGGACTAAGGCATTTCAGAGGGGCATACCTCTAAAGAGCAAGGCATTCAGCTCTACTTAAATATTGGCTTTGAGTCTGCACTGAGCTCAGGGGTGGTGGGGATTATCAAACAGTTTGGTCTTTCCATCCACACTGGGAGGATTTCCAAAATGCCACAATCAGCAGGGAGAACTGGCGAGTATAAGTGGACTCAGCGCCCACCCAGATAGGAACCCAGGAATTCCCTGAGAGAATGAACATTGAAAGAGAGCCTACCGGACAGAAGGGTTTGATAAACACAACTGAGAATCATGTTACACACCCGTCTGGCATACAAAATCAGTGCCCCAAAGCTGTCTGTGCGTGAGTCTGTATCCACGCTGGACAGGGTGTTTGATTGCTTGGAATACTGTGACCTGAAAAGGAAAGAAAGTACTATTGAAAACCTTTGCCACAGATGCCAGCCAATATTCTCAAGAATTCAGCATAAAAAAGAAAAAAACCCAGTCATTTTAACTATTTTAAACAACAACAAAGCCCTTGCGACCACTACAGACCCTCAGGAGAAATAAGCTCAGCCCAGAGATGGCCTGGCCTTCCTAGTGCAGAGCCCATTGTGATGTTATTCACCGTGGGCCCTTAGTGACATCACAGTGTGCTCTGCTGGCCTTCAGGCTTGTGGTCAGAGGCACTGATCAGCTCTCTCTGCTCAGATGAGCCAGTGTCCCAAAGTTAGAGATAAATGACCTGTTGGCCCTACATCCACAAATAAGGGAGTCCTCTCCCTTGTAGCAAATTGATCCTGCCACCAGGTGTCAATCAACGGTTTGGATTTTACACAGCACAGTTACTCCTGCAGCTATAAACAAGGGGCTGGGGATGTAGCTCCATGGATTTAAAAATAAATAAGAGCAGCTATAAGTGGCTTACCACACTAGACTGAGCCACTGAAGTGAGAGGCTGCTTATACACACAGTCCAAAAAGATTCCCATTTTAGAAGCATGCATTCCTACTGTGCTGGGCTCCAGCCTCAGTTTTTCAAAGTATCCGAGGTCACAAGCCATGTCCTGTGTGGACCATGCCAGAAATTCAGGCCTTAATCCAGACGAGTTCCTATTGATAGACAAGTACTATATAATAAATAAGACAGGCCCTTTCCTTGCTTCCATTTTTTCCCCCAAAAGATGTTTTGTTTTGCAAACGTAAGTTTGTGTTGCTGGGCTCCTGCCCAATGTATCAAAATGGTCTGTGACTGTTTGAACTGTGTGACCTTTCAGGAATGCTCTGTTAAACTCTGTCCCTTTGCTTCAGGAATGTCTGTAACTCCACGCCCCTGCTTCATTGGGAATGCTCGCCTACCCTGTGGATCCCTATATAAGGAGGCTCTCATTTCTGGTAGAGAGCTCAGACTCCTCTGAGCCTGCCAGAGCTCACCCATATAATAAAGGTTTTTTTCTCCACCTCCTCTACTGACCATCCAATTCTCATCTTGAACTTATAAGGGCTGTGTTCCAGAACTGTCACACTGAGCTGTAAAGCTCAGCTGGGCCTCAGAACTGTGGCAGACTGCTGCAATGAGTTGTGACACTCAGCTGTGCCTCAGAGCTGTGGCGCTTAGCTTTGACACTGAGCTGTAACACTTGGCTGTAGTAATGAGCTGCTCTGCTCTGCAGCAACACCACCACCAAATATCTTGCATCAAAATCTCAGGGATTTGTCAGTGATGAATGAATTTATATATATGGGGAAATCAGTAGGAAGCAGAGCACAGGGCTTGTTGCACTGTGAATCCCCAGGTCTCCACAGGGCTGTCCCCTCAAGGCCCTCAGGTTGTTCTTCTATTGTGGCCTTTTCAGCCAGGACTCTGGGCAAAACTATCAGAAGATGCAAATCCTGCACTCACCCCACATAGTTCCCTTCCCCTGTTTTGTCTGCTGCATAGCAGAGGAGATACCCATCAGGATGTTGGTATCTTACTTATCTTTTATTAAATTTATCTTATTAATTCAATTTTCTGTTCCCCTACCATGAATGAGAACTCCATGTAAGCAGGGACTTTTTTTTTTTTGCCTTTTTCCAGCATTAAGACCATATTTCACACATAGTAGGTGTTCAGCAAATGTTTGTTGAGGGAACTAATGAAGGTCACCTTTGGCCCAAAACCAACTGTGTATACTATTCCCAACTATGACATTATTTGTGGTACAGTGTGCTTTTTTCAGAATTTCCTTCTACATATTTGCATTCTAATATAGGTCTCCAATAAAAACGAATAACTTACCTCTCAAGTAATGTGTTAAATATTTCTATAGCACTTAAAACAAAAGTTACCTATCCTCAGTCTGCTGCATAGCACAGGAGAGTATCCATGAGAAAACAGGAAAAACTCTTGAAGTTTTAGGCATACACAAATGCTTTCTAAATGGAATTCCAATTGCACAAAAATAATACCAAAAATTAATGAATGGCATCATATAAAATTAAAAATCTGCCCAGCAAATGAAACAGAGTGAAAAGCCAACGTACAGAATGGGAGAAAAAATTTTCCCTACTACTCATCAGAGAAAGGTCTTATATCTAGAACAAATAAAAACTCAAAAAAAATTAGCCATCCCAAATTAAGAGACCCATTCAGAAAGTGAGCAAATGAAATTAACAGACACTTCTATAAAAAGATGTACAAATGGCCAACAAATACATGAAAAAAATGTTCAGCACTGATGGCCATTTGAGAAATGCAAGTTAAAACAACACTGAGATTTCAAATTACTCCAGAAAGAATGACAATCATCAAGGAATAAAATAATAACCAATGCTGGTGGGGCTGAGCCAAAAAATAAACCTTTCTTCATTGTTAGCGGGCATTTAAACTAGTACAACTACTATGGAAATCAGTTTGGAGAGGCCTCAAATAACTTACAATAGAAACTCCATTTGATTCAGCTATCCTCCTTTCAGATATCTTCCCTAAAGAATGAACAACATCGCATTACAGTGATATGTACATACCTATGTTTATAGCAGCAAAATTCATAATAGCTAAATCTTGGATGTGTCACATATATCCATTAACAGATTCATGGATAAAGAAAATATGTTCTTTACAGATAATAGATTACAACTCTGCCATAAAGAAAGATAAACTTAAGTAATTTGTAGGACAATGAATGCAACTTAAGACCTCAATGTTAAGTGAAATAAATCAGGTGCACAATTTAAATATGTATGGTTTCTCTTATATGAGAAACCCTAAATATAAATAAAAAGCAAAATAAAAAATAAAGAATAGGATATAGCAAGATAGATCTTTAGCATATGGGAAGGAAATCAAGAGATGAAGAATGGAGGCAGGGGAGGGAAATGGGATTTTTTAAAAAAGGAATTGTGATGTATTGTGCACATGTACCAAGTTCCTAGGTGGAAAATGATCATTATGTACTATAGACAACTACCAAAAAAAAATAGGAGAGATAGAAGAGATAGAAGGAGGGAAAGTGAAGGAATGGAAAGGGATAAAGATATAATTAAGATATGTCCTGTACATGTACCAACTCCTCACAATGAATGTATTCATTATGTACTATGAACATGTACTCATTAATAAAAGAAAAAAGAAGTCATCTGGCTCCTCTTGCTTTAATACAGGTCATAAGACCCTCATTCTAGCTGGGTTCCACCCTACACAAGGAAAAGGGGTGGGAAGTATGGTATAGAATGCAACCCAGAGAGCTCTGGGCAGTCCTTGCTGGGTTTCCCCTCTCAGTCTATAGTCATTAAATCATATTCTTTTGTCTAATCACATTTCTACGTAGCTATCCATTCTTCATTGAAATTAAGCATAGAAATAGACCCATTTCTTTGGATCTTTGAGTCCTTATTCCTTAAGGGTCATGTTTCACATAAAACTTTGATTAAACAAATTTGGTATACTTTTCTCTTGTTAACTTGTTAATTTGTTCTCTCATTAACTTCTTTTTATAGAAGTGTCATCTGTGACTCTTATGATGGACAAGAAAAGGTATAACAAATTTCTGTCCTTACACAAATAAAAAATTACCATACCTCTCTTATTCCTAATAATTAGTACATAATAATTTCACTTCCTCTTAGGGAATGTTTTCAAAATTCTGTATGCCTTGGGCTAGGGATTTACCTCAGTGGCACCACGCCTGACTCACAAGTGCAAGGTCCTGAGTTCAACCCCTAGTATGAAGAAAAAAAAAGACTTTGTTTCCAGTTTTTTCCTTTTCTCTTATTTTTTCTTATCCTTCTTACCTTTCCACTACCCCTCTCACTTCCCCTACACCTTTAGACCTTTTTCCTATTACACAATATCAATATATATTTTGATCCTTATTTATGCATTTAGTTTTTCACACCAGAGAAACAACACAGTATTTACACATGTGTGACCTATTAATTTCACTTAAGAGTGTGTCCTTAATGTGCATCCGCTTAGCTATAAATGTCTCTGTAAATAGAGGAGGGCGGAGGGGGTGAAGGGAGGCCAAGGGAATAGGGAAAAAATAAGAACCAAGATATATCATGTAAAAGGGCAAGATCCCAATGATGAAAGTAACTGTATTGTATACCTAAAATGGAGGGAAGGGCAAGAAAAAAAAGATCTGAAATGTGTTATGTACATGTACCAATTTTCTACAATGAGTGTAATCATTATATACATGTACTAATAAAAGTAAAAAAAAAATTATAAATATAAACTTACAAAATGACATCTTTGTCAGTTATAAAATCAAGGTGTAGCACATTTAAAATTGATACTATTTTTGAAATATAATTTTTATGGTCATCTTATATAGTATTTTTTCCTTGGTAGAATAGTTTGTAAAATTTATATATGTGCGTAATAGAAAACATAAGATTTGAGAGGTTATGTTTTATTTCATCCTGTTTAATACAATTTCAAATGAAAATCAGAGTTTTTAAAGTATGATTTTTAGTTGATAATACCCCCTAAGGAAATATTTACATATCCTTTGTTTGTAAAAAAGACAAAAAATTATTAAACTCTTGTACTGGGGACTGAACCCAAGGCCTTCACACTGACCTACATCCCCAGCGGGTTTTTTGTTTGTTCGTTTTTAATTTTGAGACAGGATCTTGCTAAATTGCCCAGGCTAGTCTTGAACTTTGGATCCTCCTGTTTCAGTCTCCCAGAGTGCTGGGATTAGAAACATGTGCCACCATGCCAACCTCTCACTGAAATCATGAAGACAACTTAACTTACTATTATTTCAATCAGATATATTACTTTTATTATCTTAAATTTGATGTCAGAAAAAATTTTATTCAATTTTTGCCTTTTGGTATTATGCCTTTTTTTTTAAATTGCCCAGAATGAGCTCTAACTTGTGATCCTGCTGCCTCAGCATCCCAAAGTGCTGGGATTACTGGCATCCATCACCCAGCTAGAAACATTTACTTTTAAACTCTGGAGTTCAAGTTACATGAACCGTTAATTTTAGAAATGAAAAGAAAAAAACATAAACTTGTCTTTAGATGTCATAATAGTTTTTACACAAACAATGAAAAACATATCTCATGATAATACAGTACCTAAACATCACAATTGAGGAGTATGCAACATCCTAGGTT